TACACAAATAAGAATTTTTAAATAGTTAATTTGATACTAATATTAATATATTTTTTTACAAATTTTATGTGATATTTTCAATTTTATATTTAAAAATAAAAACATTATTGTTTTTCTTAAAATTATGTAAAACTGTATTATATCGACAGGACAAAAAATAAAACAAAATATTAAAATCAAAATATATCTCGTTATACTGTGCGAGTATTCTTCTAGTATTATAAAAAATCATTTTTAGCAATAATTTTTATTAAGTTCTTAATTTAAGAATTTTACCTCTCTCTTCTATTTTCCATTCAAAAAATTAACCCACAATTCCAAAATCTTTATTTTCTCCCTTTTGGAGAATGTCTTTTAGAACCGCAATTATTCACTCCAAACCCAGAAATTAATGTTCAATTCTGATAGTTTGGTATTTCGAGGATGGGTGCATATATTTCTATAGAGATGTTATGCCATGTTTTGATCCTCTTTTTACTCAGCGATTTTATTTTGTCAGCAATTTGCCATTCCTGAAATGGTGTTGGTACTCATTTGCCTCATGCCTGGTGACACATCTTTGTTAATTTGTTGGATAATATACAAGTGTGAGATCCATAGTCAAAATCTTTAAGATATCATGAGATGGGGAAGCATCGACCACCACTGAGATTTGTGTTTGCTTTCTGTAGGTCACCTGTTCAAGTCCCCTTCAAGGTCCCATAGGATTAGTTGAGCCTCCCCAAACATCAACAATTATATAAAAGTGTTAACTGCTTGAGCAAGTATGCTAGTTAAATGTCAATTTTAACAGGAAAGCAGGGTAATATGCAAAAAGTAATTTAAAAATGTTAGGTACAGTAAGTAAATATATATATTGGTAAAAATTTGGTTTACTCGGAGGGTAAATTTACCGCTACTTCTTCCTTTCATTGTTTTTGGACCCTTTGATATATGTGGTGGTAGAAATTAAAGTGAGGATGTCAGTGTTTGAAATTATGATGGTGCTGGAAAGAGTACAACCTATAATGATGAGTGCTTTAATAATACATCTTATATAAAGATCCAGTAGTAGGGAATAGGGATGGAAGGTTGAGTCATTGTGTAATCTTTATTGCTTTTTCTATTTTGTTTGGTTAGTTTTAGTTTGGAATCTAATAGAGCCTTTTTCAAATATTTATTCTCATGTAATGTTTGATTACTGGTATGCTTCTAAATTTTATGTTTTTGCGTTATTGCCTAAATGTTGCCTATTATGAAGATGCTAGTTTTTATGCCTTCTGAGTTGTCTTCATTAAAATTGCAATGTTTGACTAAATTGTGCTAAAGATATTGTTTGATTATTTGTTATATAAAGTAACATATTATTGTATAAACAAAATAAATAGAAGAATTTTGTGGATCAAAAATAGCACAATCAGTTAAGGCGAAAGATCGTGTGAGAAGGAGAGTTAACGTGAGAAGCGTAAGAATTTGGACGCTTGATCATCTTTAATCTCAAAGCCAGCCATGAATCGCGCTTGATTCGGTGATTGATCCGGTGCATCTCATCCTAATGTGCATCCTAGGGTGGATATGTTTTTCACCTTTTTAACTCTTTTTCTCACCGGAACCCAACCCATTAGTTAATTTGCAAGGACAATGCTGCTGAGAAAATAGGTAAATTGATCATAAAACCTTATGAGAAAGGGTAATGTTGCAATTTTCATGGGACTGAAGGAAAATGGTAGACTTTTTGAAACTGGTAATCGACGCTTATATATATATATCCTTGAATATACTTTTCAGATATGTGGCTGTCTACTTCTCCATCTTACATTTCCGGTATCGTGCTGGCATTGTTACTGATGAAATGCTTTCCATGCCGAAAGCTCCACTTCTTGTTGTTGGTCTCTTGGAAGCTCTTGGTGCTGTCTGTGGAATGGCTGCTGGAGGTAATGGAACTCACTCAACTTTCTGGTATTAATTCTCTCCATTCAAGATGTTCCCTCTTTCCCATGAACTCAACTTGTAGTCTTAACTAAAAGTTTTGATTTCAAATATCAATAGTCAAAAAACAAGCGAATCTTGTGAAGTAAAATCAACATTCAGTACCATCAAATGACTTGTAATGACAAGATTGAAAATTTCAGAAAGACAAGTAAACTAAACCAAACGAACCCAGTACCAGAGTACGGTAAGATAGATGTACACAAAACCTTACCTCTACCTAGAGGGGTAGAGACTCCCGGCTTGAAAAAGGTTTTCGAATACATTATTCTGCGGGAAACATTTGATTCTAAAAGTCAATGTTGCAGTTAATATGGGATTAGAAATTGTTGCATTTTCATTTTAAGGGAGTGATTTTCTCTAGCATCTCAAAGTTTCTAGAATGCTTATCTGATCTAGGAAATTAGTATTGACACCAAAGGGTCATTGACCCAACAGTATCCTAGGTGGTCAAGGGTTCAAAACTAATCAAAGGTGAGGAGTGTGCATCTGTATGTAAATGTTATATACTTGGAAACTGGTATTGATGACAAAAGTTGGTCTAGGATCAATATGATGCTTATTGTGGTAGCATGTTATTAATGTTTGACAACCCAATCCCACCTTGGCTAAGAGAGAATTCTGAGTTCCTTATATAAGTTTATAACAGAAAGCTAGTAATATTTCCTACCATGTTCTTTATGTAGATTTTAGTACTTCAAAGTTTCTATTTTTCCTGCTGAAAATTGAAATAAAGATGCTTTTTTATATAAATTGAATTCCGGTAAATAACATGTTCCTCTTTCTTTAACAGCTGTTCTTTCAGGAGCAGCTATTCCAATTTTGTCACAGGTAATTTGTTATGTAATTTCTCTCTTTTTGCTATCGTCAAATTGCAGACATACCCAACTTACAAACATCTTTCTGTCATCAGATGTGAATATAGCAATCTGAATCTAAAGCTTGTGCTATACTGGCTGGGCCTGTGGGTTCCTGGCCTGATTAATCTTCCCACCTCTCCGTAAAAAAGAATCGATGGAGTAAAAATAGATAGTTGACTCAATTACATGCTAATACTTGCAGAGTTTTCTCGTTTGGCAAATCATCTTGTCATGTCTTTTTCTTGGGAGGAAATATAAATTCAACCAGTTACTTGGCTGCTTCCTTGTTGCCGTTGGTGTAATTATTACAGTTGCCAGGTACTTTGTCCAAATCAATATTTTCTTATCCCATCACCTCCAGACTTGTTTGGTTTGAAAAAAATGTAAAACTTTAATTGCTTTTGTATCGCATACAATTTACACCACGAAATATTCTGCAGTGGATCTAGTGCCGGTTCATTGATGGAAGCTGGTATGTTTTGGAGTCTTCTAATGATTGTTTCCTTTTTGTTCCAAGCTGCCGATACCATATTGAAGGTCCGTTATTTTTTTAATAGAATTTGTGCTTTATCAGTTTCAATTCTCTTACAGGTCATAATTTTCACATGTTCCTTTACTGTAGGAAGTCATTTTCTTGGATGCTGCAAAAAGATTGAAGGTGCACACAATAGCTTGTTATAAGTGTCACAACCTTTTTCTTTTTTGGTCATTTAAACCACGTGTTTCAATGATAACATGGTTATGTCTTACAAATTGAACAACAGGGAGGCTCGGTTGATCTATTTGTTTTAAATTCGTATGGATCTGCATTTCAGGTAGGTTTTTCTCAGAGTGATGACTTTTTTGGATCATAGTAGTTGGCTTCTTGTAGCAAATAAAACTGTGCTGTTGTGAAAGAGTAAAATAACTCTACAATTTACACGAATTAGCATTTTTGCAAATGATGGTGTGTTTTTGTGGCATTTTCACAAGAACAATGGTAGGTTTGGCACGAAAAGCAAACCACAGTGGTTCAAAAAGTCAATTGTTCTATCCTTTTATTGAGCCTTGGAGAAAAGAAATTGTTTTCAGTCAAATGGCGTGTGTGCAGGCGCTTTTTATTTGCCTTCTCCTACCATTCCTTTCAAGGTTATGGGGTATTCCATTTCATCAACTGCCGATGTATCTTTCAGATGGGGCAGCTTGCTTTCTAAACATGGGCACCGTGTCAAGTGGTGAGCCATCTCTTTTTTTCTTCATGCTCTTTCTCATATTATCTCGGCTGATCATGGACTGGACTTATATTACAGTCCAGTTAACGATGGACCTTCGATGGTTTAGTTCTGTGGCTTCTTATTTCGCACATTTTGCATAAACTGGGGGTCTTCATGGAAATAGTAGTACTACTCTTTATCTACTCAGATCTGCATACATCCCACCTCTGGGTGGGATATACCAGGCATGCTTGGTTTAGTTTGGTTGAAATAAACTAGTTTTTGAGCTAAAGCTTCTTGTGGTGTTCTAATTCTAGTTCCTTTATAAATTTTTGGGCAAAAAGTTGATCCCGCCTCCAAGGACACCAATTTGAGGGGGCATCTTTTGGCTCACTGAATGCCTCAGGCGATCGAACCGGGACCTGTCTTGTATTTGGGCAAAGTCGTCCGCCTCTTTGCCAATTGAGCTACACGCTGAAGGCAGTTCCCTTGTAAATTAAAACCCCCAAATGATATTTGAAGTTGAAAAGCATTTTAAAGTCAAATGGACCAATATAATTAAGTAGACATGCCTCCTAAGTGAGGATGTATTGAACAAATTTACTTAGCCTAATGGTATTTGACTTGCAACAGGATGTGAGGGAGCGCCGCTGCTACCGCTGCTGTTTTGTATCGTCAACATGGGGTATAACATATCATTGTTGCATCTAATCAAAATCTCGTCCGCAGTCGTATCCTCCCTTGCCTCGACAGTTTCTGGTATATTATCTTATGATTCTTTGACAATAAAATAAAATCCAACAGTCTTCAGCTTTGGGATTAATCTTTTAGGCTATGTTTGACAAACTAGTAGATAAGCTAGCTGCCAACAGATTAGGTATTGGCTAACAAGCCGCCGCCTAATAAGCTAGTTGATAAATTAGTCATGTTTGGTAAAGATAACTAGTTTATAAGCTGGATGACAATTAAAATGAAATAAAAAGAATCATGTTGAAAATTTAATTGGAAAGATACGAGTATAATTGGAAAAAAGTGAAAAAAAAAACCATTTAGCATATTGAAACGCTACTTGAATTAGCTTTTTGAAAAGCTAGTTTACTGGATCTAGCTTATGATTGCCAAACATTGTCGTAACAGAAAAAGCGTATTTGTATGTATTTTTGTTACAAACAAACAATCATCTATGAAAATTGTGATGTTTATTCTACAGACCACATGTTACCTTATAATCATCTATGAAATGCCTAGAATACCCATTAATGAAACTTTTCTCTCATGGAAACAATCGCTCTACTCTTTATGGTAGAGATTAGGTCTCTAGTACATCTTGCCATCAAGATCCCACCTACGGGTGAGATATATATATCGGGTTTGTTTGGTTTAGTACACATTCAAGAAACATGAAAAATTGGTGCACTATAAGACGACTCATATTGTTAAAATATGCATTGCAGTCCCGATATCGGTGTTTTTGTTCACACTGCCGCTACCATACTTGGGGGTGGCTTCCTCCCTCCCATCAGGCTTCATAGCAGGTGCTGTTGTTCTTGTGATGGGCATGTTGATTTATGCTTGGACACCATCTCGCCCTCCCATGCCGTCAACCGTGACTACCCATGATTTTTGAAATGCCGTTGGTTTTTTTTGTAGCGTAGAAATAGGTAGAGAATGAATAATAATTTGTTGTATAATTCTTTGTAGCATCATCATATTGCCATAAAACTGGGCAATATGTTTCTTATTCTTGATGTAGTTTTTCTCAATAAATGACTACATTTTAAAGCTCTTCAACTCCAACAATTATTTTTGAGTGGTACAACATATTAATATATAATAAAATAGATAGTAATTATAAAAAAAAAGACGGTTTTATCAAAAATGATATATATGATACCACCTACAACTGTTCCCTTGGAGTTCATCTTTTGAAAGCGGATGATTACATCTTCATTTGTGACATCAGCAAGTGCTTCATTTTCTACGGAACATGTTGTTCCAAATCCACAAAACAACTCAATTAGAACATGTTATTGAGAAGAATTAAGATGAAAAATCATGAACATGATGAACCGGCCGTTTCTTATTCATGAAAATCATGAAAAATTATTCTCAATAACCTAAACGACTCTCATGAGAAGAATGATTAGAATGAACAACAACTACTCTAAGCCCCATGTCACCTATTTATTGGTGACAATTACAATGAAAGCCCATTTCCCTTAGCTCAATTACATGAATATTACAATATAATTCAATACAAATACTTTATAAAACTTTGATAACATTTAGGACAATTTGGTCCTAACAATCCCCTCCCAAAAGTTTTATAAAGCAAGCATCTCTGAAATCTTCAAATTCTCTATCCCTGCTTTCTTATAGAAAACTTTGACGTGCCCAACATAAATGAAATCTTCAAGCTCCCTCCTGAATAATGCGTTTACCCTTTCAGTTTCAACTTTAAGATAAGATCCAATATGAACTCAGCACCACTGATTGCACAAAGTACAGATATAACTACAAACAACTCAACACAATCTTGAACCTCAGAATCACCACTTGGCCCACAAGCAACTAATTCATCCAACTATGGATAGAATAAATGTGCGAGTTTCATGAAAAACCAGTGTCGACAGTTTTATGACAAAGAATCTTTCTATGAACCACGAGTTGAATAAGCATTTAGCTTAAGAACTTGATCTGATAAGCTCATATAACGGGGTTCCAACATCAGCTTGAACAACCAAAATAAACACATTTGACATTAAGATTCAGAGAGAAGAATCAACATTAAGAACATGGCTTCAAGAACAACAAGTCAACCAAGAAAGATAAACCGCTTTTCTTTAAACCTTCAGCAGACTGAATAACCAAAATCAGATTCAAAATTCCCAGCCAAAAGAGTGATTGTTAGCACTTAGAACTCTAGATCACAATCATAACTTCAGAACAAAGATTGTAGACTTTCAAACCTCTAATTGATCAGGTTAGAAGAATGACTGAGAACATTCAAAGAATTGATAACTCTAAAACCTCTAGAACATTGATTGTTCACCTTCAAATCTTCTGATTGATCAGGTCAAACGAAATGATTGAAAGCACTCACGGTCTGGCCTCTTGTAGAAAAATCCAGAATAATGATTGTAAATACTCAAACTCTGACGAGTCCACTCAAATATAGAAATCAATCACCCACTTTTGAAATCCTTTCAAATAAGGATTTAAACATTAAGCTCCAAAATGATTTGACCAAAATTCAAACTTTGACTTTGAAAAGTCAAAAAAATTGACAAGTATTGCTGTTGATGCTTCTCAGGATAGGGCAATGATAAAACATCACCTTAATCATTAAGCACAAGTGATATTGGGCTAAAAGTCCATTAAGTACACACATTAAGCACATAGAGAGTCTTGAACAAGTACTCATGAGATGGGCGATGAACACAGATAAGACTTTAAATCGCCCATGCCTTAGGCGGATACCCCATGAACCTTGTATACGCCCATGCCTTGGGCAATGAACAATTTATATCGTCCACGCCTTGGGCGATATACACAACTTACATTCTTCTCGCTCAATATAGAGATGTCATCTCATGAAGCTTGGTGAGGATTGGAAGTATATCAGGCAACACTTTAAACATAGGATGATTAAGTAACAAGGCAAAACTGTTATCTTGAGGTTATCGCCACCAAGGAATCCATGTAGAGGGTTATCGCTCAACAAGAATATCGGGCAGACAAACATCGCTTGATATAAGAGCGATGTAAACTTCAAAGATTAAGGTTATTACCTAGTGTATTGGGCGATGAACACTTTTATGCTCAACACATTGAGCGTATTACATCAATAAACTCCATGACTTGAACAATGAGCATGGCTATCGGCATGCTTTGGGCGATGACTAGGGTTATTGCTCAACATGTGCAAAATTTCCATCCAAGTCCAAAATATATCGCTCAAAACAGTTTAACAAGACCAAGTTACCAACATCACTTTTCGCCGATATAAATCTGGATATCGCTCATTACAGCCTCGAATCTTCATTGGGAAATGGTCATCCTTATATCGCTCAATGAATTTGTTCAATGGGCGATGAGCTCAAATATGACAGTATCAAAGAACAATTCAACCAAAAAACATCAAATTTTCCAAAATTTTATCAATCAACACCAAAATTGATGATTAAATTGAGTTCGTATTCACCATTAAACAAATCCTATTGAAGGAATAAATTAAGAACATTAAAATCCAGGTGAATTTAATCATTTTAGCACAAAAGTCGAATAGGAAGTCCGTGTTCATGATGAGTACCGTTTCGTAGCAAAAAATAGAAAGTTTGATTGAAATTGCTGTAGACAGATGGATTGCATCGATAATGATTAATCGATTCTGCTCTGATATCAATTGTTGTTCTAGATCCACAATAAATCAAGAATTAAAACATGTTATTGAGAATAATTAAGATGAAGAATCATGAACAAGATGAACCGACCATTTCTTATTCATGAAAAGCATGAAATTACAAGGAACTCTCAATAACCTAAACGACTCTCATGAGAAGAATGATTAGAATGAACAACAACTACTCTAAGCTCCATGTCACCTATTTATAGGTGACATTTACAATGAAACCCATTTCCCTTAGCCCAATTATATGAATATTACAATACAATTCAATACAAAGACTTTACAAAACTTTAATAATATTTAGGACAATTTGGTCCTAACAAAACAAGTGACTGAATCATTCAAAAAGTCATCACTTATTCAATTGTGCAAATATGTCTTGACAAGCTTCGTTAACAAAAAATATCGTTCAACCCTAGAGGTTGCAACTAGTAAAACCAAAGCTAGCATCAGTAATCTAAAGACCAAAGGATAGGAGAGATGTTTTGTTGTTTCCACCATCAATGTAGTAAGGTCATCAATGCCATTCAAGTTGGCAAATCTTTCATCTCGATGCACGACTTCATGGTATACATCAAGTTGATGCCCAAGTCTACTCCTTTCCATTTGTTTTAAATCATATAGATAAAACTCACTCAATCTCAATGATTTTGATTTTTCAAAATGAAAAACGAGGCACAAGGACTCAATGCCACCAGATTTCTAAGGAACTTAGTGCTTACCTTATTAAAGCAATCGCCAAAATCTTTGTTAATCCCAGATCTGACAGTAGAGTAATGTAAAGCAATTTAAAAAGAGATTTGTAGAAGAAGATGAATAGAAATCTGCCGCCACTTTCTTTATTGGATGGAAAATACAATCTCTAAAAAACCCTAATCGACTCTCATGTGATGTGTTTGAATCTGTGTGTTACAAAGTGTTGATAATTCATCTCACTTCTATTCTATGCCTGTATCACTTATTATATAGGCGATATTTACATGATATCTGAATCCTATAAATAAGGTAACTAAATTCTACAAACAAGGAAATAATCATTATCGAAAATTGGATCAACATCATCCTTCAAGATTTTGAAGATAGTCGTCCAGAAGATAGACCAACCAGAGGATAGACCAACCAGAGGTTTGACCAACCAGAGGATAGACCAACCAGAGGATAGACTAACCAGAGGTTAAACCAACTAGAGGTTAGACCAACCAGTGGTCTTTACCAACCAGAGGATAGACCAACCAGAGGCTAGACCAACAAGATGATAGACATTTTAAGCTCAACAACATCTTCAGGTCTTCCATCCTTAGCCCCGATTGCTTAATAAAACTTTTTAGAATAATTAGGGTCAATTTGATCCTAACAATCTCGAATTTGCATATCCACAACAGTGTTGAATATGTCATACTCATAATGATGGCAGTTGGTGATGTTGGTCAATTTCCTTAGATTCTTTGAATTTACATAATCTTTTGCCATTTCCACCTTGTTAATAGGATGTGCTTCACAAAAAGAATAGACTTCCTTCAAAATTGTATCAAACCCACTTTGTTTAAGTGTTTGCAACCTTCATTTGGTTGTTTCTATCAATGAAACTGCTTCCACCATATTTTGATATTTTCTTTCAAGAGTTTTTGATACGATAATTTTTTGTCTCTAAAGTAGTCAACATAAAGTGCATATAAACCACAAAACCAAATGTCTTGAAATATGATAGAATACCATCGGCATGACGTCGGTTGCAAGAATTATCGGCTTCTTTTTCAATATACTAAAGAACTTTAATGAGTTCCAGAAACAAAGTTATCAATCTCTCAATTGTTTTATGATGAGAACCCCAATGTGTGTCTCCAACTCATATAAGAGAAAGCTCTTGGTTCCACCCTCTTCCGGTTTTGATTTCACCCATGCCAATTGCTTCTTCCATTCTTTCTTGGTAGATTTCTCTAACCATATCCTTTCGTTTGCATGAACCATTCACCACATTCATCACCAAGGAAATCATATCAAAGAAGTCTTCAACGCTGTCATGTTTGTGTGCAACCGCCACAACTACTAGCTGAAGTTGGTGAGAAAAACAATGGATATAATATGTTGAGTTATATTGTTGGTAGAATCAATCCACAGAGAGAACTAAAGGAAAACCCTAACAATGGCGGAAGCAATCAGAATTTCAATCGCTTAGCGCCAGTGAATAACAATAAGATGATTTACAGGAATATAATGGGGGGCGAAGGTGGAGGACTTTCACTCAAAGCCTTTGCTAATGCTAAAACCAAAACTGACGGCTACAATGCTGCTTTAATCAAGAAACAAAGGGAGTTCTACAAAAATGCAAAATATGTCAACAAGTACAAGAAGTCACTGAAGCAACAAAACCACA